CGCTACTATAGCCAATGGCCTGAAGTATGGTGTTGATTTTAGGCCTGGTCTGCCGGCTTTGTATGCTCTCTCTTCCACTATGGTAACGTTACAGCTTAATAGTAAACAATGTTTATTTTTTTTTATCTGAGGGGAATGTCATTCAAGTGACGATCATTCACCCACCTTCTCCCAGTCAGACTTGAGTCCACACTGTGTTACGATGAACTTTGACCTTTGTCAAGACACTTCAGCACTGTGTGTCGGAGAAAAGCATAGTGTTTTTGTTTTTAAACTAACAGGTTTGTTGTACTTGCTATTAGATATACAAAATTAGTTTTAGCATTGCCTGATTCAGCTTGACGAAAGAACAGTGGATGATTTAGATTATAGGAAAAAATCTATTGAAGACACAATAGAGAATATAAAGTACTTACATTGTATTTCATTAAGAAAACGGTTTCCTTGGCTGTGGTTACTCCCTTTTTTACATCCTCATGGATTTTTCTTTTTTACATTGGTTTTGACACCATTTATATATCACAGACCTTTGCCGGGGCTTCTAGTTTTGAACACAGCCATGAAGTTGCTTTATCTTTTTCTTAACGAGATTTTAGCTTACTCAGGGATAAAGAAGTCTTATTCTTTTCTTTTCACATCTAAGTGACAATCATCTCCGCCAACTTAAAGGCTTCATTAGTGTTCATTGACCAACTGCTCCGTTTTCAATTCCATTCTATTTTCAGAAAGGTTTTCCCTCCCATACGTGTGCATCAAAATATTTTAGAATAGTTTACATTGCCTGATGCTCTTTTACTGCCTTTCGAAATAGATCACTTTCTAGGGTATCTATGGACTTCATAACAATTCAGCATTGCCACAGTTGCTTCTATTGGATGCTAATTGTTTTTTTTTTCTTTTTTGAAACATTGCCAAAGTCACAGCGCCAAAAGAGAAAACTCAAAAAGCTGTGAGTCCTTCATTAATCCAGAAGAAGCTTCTAAAGATCGCTAAATCTTCCAGGTCCAGTATATCGGAACTTGAATGTAAGTACCTTAAGAAGGAGAGAGAAATTGATTTTTTTGGAGACTAGAGGTGATAAGTGC